TTTTTTTATCTGTGTCCTCTCTAGATTTATTAATCATGTCTTGCACCATGAGCAAAAACTTTGCTGTTGTTTGAATAATTATTTCTGATTTCATTTTTCCCATATCCTCTTTTGTTGCCAATTCAGAGAGTCCAGGTGGTTGAGTGTCAGAGTGTTCCATCTCATTTCCCTTTGGGGTTGCTGTAGGTAATCCAGAAGTCTGTTTTTGAGACTTGTTTACATGTCTTCTCATTTCCACGGGAGGGGGTGCTTCTGGCACCCACGCGGCTCACCTTCTCTGCCCTAGGAGCTTGGGATGGCGGTGGGGGAGCTTCCTTCTGGGTTCTGGGACCGGCTGAGCTTCTCTGCCCTAGGAGCCTGGGATGGAGGTGGGGAGCTTCCTCTGATGCCAATATTATCTTGATTCTGTTGAAGAATCATTCCATGGAAGTCAGCCCAAATCTAGGCTTTGTGCTAGGGACTTAAAGCATTCTAGAAATATATTTTCATTGAAGGCTAAGACACAAAACACTTTTCACCAATTCCCAGTCCACAGTTGTCTTCCAACCTCCAACCCCATCCATATATGTATTTTGGTTCTCACTGGTTGCAATCTTAGAAAGATCTTTAGTGGAGTGATATCACTTGAAGGAAAACATGCATTTTTAAATTTCTGAGATGGGGGTCTCTATATGTTTCCGGGGCTGGTCTCAAATTCCTGAGTTCCAGAGAATTCCCCTCCTGGGCCTCTTGAGTAGCTGGGACTACATGTGCACCACACCACACCAGGCTTATACGTTCTTCAAATATATTCTGTGGCCCAGAAATAGATCATTTCTTTGGGGTTCAGATGTAGCATTGCAAGACCCCTCAAAACAGATACTTATGAGAGTCTGTCCATTTGTAAATAAAAAGTAATTCCAGATCTATAACTACTACCAGCCATTTCTTTCTTTCTTATTTATTTATTTATTTATTTATTTATTTATTTATTTATTTGCAGTACTGAGTGTCAAACCTAGGGTTTTTCACAATGTAGGAAAGTCCTATTTTTTATTTTCCATCACCTTTTTCAATTAGGTTCTTAATATCTTCTTTCCAAAAACTAATTTCCCACCTCTGCAAGCAGCTGTTTTCCCAGTTCTCATACACATCCACCTTCAGTGTCTGATTGTCCAGTATCTACTCTGTGCCAGCTAAGAATAATAACCCTCATGTCAGTATGGTTAAATGAAACCAGAAGGGTGTGCATGTTGAGTGTGGTCTCTGAAAGTTTGTTCCAATGAAGAGCTGTCTAATAATTTTCCCAGAGGCACCTGGGGCAACTCTGAAAAAATCCAAAGACTCTTGGGCTGGGATATAGCTCAGTCTGTAGAGTGCTTGCCTAGCACACACATGGCAATGATGAAAAAGGAGCAAACACTGTTGCTTGCTTCCTCCTTTGTGACTGACAGTCCTCCCCTTCAAAGACACTAGGTCACAGAAGCTACTCCAACTCTGCAGCCTATGACAGAAAATAGAGAGAGAGTAGGGTGTTACTGCATATGGATCCCACTCAATGAAACAACCTCAGAAGGTCTTGTGTTGATTCTCTTCATTCAGGAAGTATTTATCTCAAAGTACCACACACAAGTTGCTTATTTATTCATTTGGTGTTTTAATTTCCTCCAGGGAAAAAATTCTGTGCTGATATTGGTAATGATGATGCAATAATAATAGTGCTATTACTTTAGAGGAGGAAATTCTGCATAATGGTCAAAATCCTATGAGAATGAGAGTGAGAATAAAATAAAACTTGTTTAGCAGTAACAAAAAAAGATTTTAGTGATGAATCAGATCTACAAGCAAAAAATCATTTCACCTGGCAGCAGATTATATCACTAAGTTAGATTGTCAGTGAATGCCCCTAGAATCTCTCATAAAAATATCTTAGGGGAAGGTCAGTGGCTCTAAAAACTCTATGGAAAACTTGCTGAGTACTTGAACTTATGTATTCAACCTGGCCTAAGAGTTTTTTATGTAGTTTTTTGTACTATCTTTCATACTCTTACAAGTATGACCTAAATTAAAGAAAATGAAAGCAAATTAGGTAAATAAGTCAAGTCATACTGACTGAATGAATAAGTGCAAAATAAGAAAAATGAGCCTATTGGTAAAGTTACAGTTTGTTTTTCCCTCTGTGGCACTGTTTTGATTACTCCATGTTGTCAGTCGAGGAAGGAAACAGAGGCTTTGTGGGTAAGAAGGGGCAGAACTCAGGAAGCTTCATTATGATAGAAGAAATCACCTATTACTAAAGTTGGCACCCAGCATTTAAAGATGGCACAGTACTTCTATTCCTGCCTGCTGGTGGCCATGAAATTCCAAGAGGTCAGCAAACAGTTGTCAGATTATTTTGCCTTAATGTCTCTAAAAGGCTTATGGAGTTAAGAAAAATAGATTGGAATTCCAGTTGTGTCACAAAGGAGGTCTTCTCTTTGACAGTGTTGCAATTTACTTCTTCTCCATGGGCCTTGGTTTCCGCAACTGTCACAACAAGTTGACCTAATTTCTAAGGCCCCTCCTGGCTTGAAGAGTCAGTAGTTTTACATGTTATCTTCTCCTGCCCTCACAGAATGGAACTGTCATCTTGGACCAGCCTTACGTGTAGCTGGGGAGAGCACTCAGTCTTAGAAAAATCAGAGTTGCCTTTAGCAATAGCTGAGGATGGAATCTTTTCTCTGGAGGGAAATAGAAGAATCAATTGAGAAGGTTGGGCACTTGGAGACTGGGTCTCAGACTGACCTTTCTAGAAGGACTTGTTTTTTTGTTTTTTGAGATAAGGACTGCACTGCTGGGGTACATAGGCAGTTTTGTAGTGGCCCCCCCTAAGAAAAACCACAGATAGCGATTCTGCCATTTAAGATGTAAAGTAAACCTGAAGTTCTTTACCTCAGAAACCAATTTTCCCAATTCTGTTTCTTCTCTCCCATTTTTTCCCTCTCCCCTCTGCCTCTGGGATCATCTTCCAACAGAAGAGTGCATCCTTCGGACCACCAAAGCTGAGCCAGCTTCTGAGCACGCCAGGGCGGCTCTGCTGATCACCTCCTCCGTCATACTGGTGCTTCTGCTGGGGGCCTCTGTGGTTGTCTGGAAGAAGTCTCGGGGCCGTGCCCAGCCCATACAGAAGACCCGCTATGAAAAGCTGGCTGAGCCTGCCAAGTCCTATTCCTACAAGAGCAGTTATCTCGAGAACACCAGCTTTGAAGAGGACCAGGTGATTGAGTACAAGGACAGGGATTATGATGAAGAAGATGATGATGACATCGTCTACATGGGCCAAGATGGCACTGTTTACCGGAAGTTTAAGTATGGGCTGCTGGATGATGAGGAGGAGGTTGAGCTGGAATATGATGATGAGAGTTACTCCTACTAGTAACCAGAGACTACCCCACCCAAGAGCATTGATGGGTTGGTTTTATCCACACACCAGGCTGATGTGTACATGTCTGTTTGTCTTCTTAACCATGAGTCCAATTAGAATATGCAGGAATTCTGAAATATTTTGTGCCTCTTTTGAGTGGCTACATTGTATTAACTGTTACTGCTCAACCATAGTTGAGGAGCAAGACAAAATTTGAAAGTATTTTCTTCAAAACAGTATGTCAAGACCACAAAATGTGGGAAGCAAAAACAAGTGAGATTTGTAAAAAGTCTTTGATCTGTTTAAAAATAATGTGTAGGGGGCAGAGGACCTATAGAAATTCTGTTTCCAAGATACATTGTGGAAACATCTGCTACTTTCTGGAATTCTTTAAACTAATTTTGGGGACTACAAGAGTGTTATTAGTCCGGGAGGACATTCCTCTTCCCTTTTGCTGTGTTTAGGCAAGTTAGGTTTTGTGAAGACCAAGAAAAGAGGGTTCTCATCCTCTGTAGCAGAGCACTCCTGATGAGCAGAAGACATCTGTGCTGAGCCTCCTCAGGACAATTAGAGATGAGAGAAGCAGCATTGTAGTTGAGGTCCCGAGAGTTCCCTGGGCCCCAGGTCCTCCTCAGGAACCTGGAGTCTAACAGTCCCAAAGGCAGAGCAAGCTCAGGTCAGCAAGCTCAGGTCAGCAAGCCCAGTGTGAGAGAAAGCACCACATTTCCCAGCATTGCACCCTTGTGATTTTCTAAGAACTTTTTTTCTGGTAGGAAATAATAAACAAAAATGTCAATGTTAAGGTAACATAAAATGGGATAAAAATGACAAACTCATCCACTGTAAAAAGGAATTTAACTGCTAAATCAGCAGAGCTTTCCTCAGCACCCCATCACAGAAGTGTGGATTTTCCATTTTAACAAAAGGACTAAAAAATAAAATAAAATCCCAACATGCTGCTCAGAAACCATAATCCAGTTGCCGAACAGCCTTGCACCAGCAATTAGCCAACATCAGGATTTTGTTTTCCCACCCCTGTCAAGTGTGCTCTTAGATCCATGCAGCTGGAAACAGTTTTGCTACAGACAGTGATGCAGAGGGAGACACCCTGGCTGTGGGAAATTATGTCCACAGAATCTTACAGATTTCCTTATCAAAGCAGAAGTTAAAAGCATTCCTAGGAGTGGAATATCAAAAAGTGAAAGTGATGTTTGCAGATGATGGTGGTAATCATGGTAAAATTTATTACACACCTACTGTGTACCTAAGTAGTTCTTCTAAAAGGAATCACTTCACTTACCTGCTTGGTACCACAACTCTGTCAAGTTGGTACCACTGTTATTCTATTTCTATAAAAAGCCTAAGGTTTACAAGAGAATAGCTCAATGTCACAGAAAGCTAATCAAGACGCAAGGGATAAGAAAGACCTTAAAACACATGTTCTTAATAACATGCTTCACTGACACAGGATGGGAAAATAAACATCCTAAATAGAGTGAAAGCATGTCTCTTGCTCTATTCTCTGATATCTTTATCCTTCTAAGAGCTGTATGACCTTTATTATATATATATATGGTGAATACATATATAGAGGATATGTATATATATGTATACATATATACAGGATACATACATAGAGGATATATATATATGTCACTGTCTTTCATCTCCAAGAAGTCTTCAGGTTATGAAAGTCTTGTGTTTCTTTAGCAAAAAGTTCTTAAACCAAGACTCAGTAAATATTCTCTGGAAAGAAGTAGATTTCTTTGTGGGCTAAAAGATTTCTATTACACTCAGCTCTGCCGTGATAGTATGAATGTAGCCAGTACACAATGAATGGTAAGCTCTATTCCGATAAAACTTTACTTATAGATGGTGAAATTTGAATTTCTGATAATTATCACATAGTATTCTTTTGATTTTTTTCCAAGAATTTAAGAATATAAGAACTATTCTTAGATCACAGCAGTGCAAAAACAGGTGGTGGATTAAGTATCACCAAGTGTGTAGTTTGTCGACCTTGTCTTTAAAACTTCTTCAGAGATTATATGTACCACATATACATATGATATGCTTCCCAAAATTTTAATCATTCAAAATTATCTGTTCAAAATCCATTTGAAGCCCTGATGGTTTTCTTTTCCATCCTTGAAAATATAGAAAATTCTTGTATGATAGCCATCTTATTCATGGAAGAACTTTTTATCTCTTGCTGTGTAGTTACACCGTCAGCCTGAGAAACAAGTAATTTTGTTTGCACTGTATTGCTCGTATTCCTTGATAATGTAAAAACTCTGAAAGACTGAGTTTGACATTTCTTCTCATATCCTGGAAATCATTTTCCCCCCAAAAGCTGTGTTTATGACACACAGTTAAAAGCTGAATGAGGTTGAAATGACCTAAAATACTAAGAAAAATTGTGTTGTTACTCTATGTGACCTGCAATAAAAAGAAGCCTCATGCTCGTGTATTGGTAAGGCTTGACATCTTCACTACTTTGTTCTTGGTCATGCCACATTATTCTCACAGTCACTTTGAATACTATGCTAAGGACTATTCTCATAGATAAATGTGTGGTTGGGGAAAAAAATCACTTTTGATTTTCTGCTTGCAAATAATTTGGTAAAATTAAGAGAAGTCTTGTAGACTTCAAGTGCAAATAATTTGGAATTCTTGTAGACTTGAAGTAAACCAAGAGGTTGTGTAAAAGCTTGGAAGGTTCTGGGTCATAGAAAGTCATTTTAAAATTGGATATATAATTAAATCGCTGGGCCTGGTGGAGCACATTTGTAATCCCAGCACTTGGGAGGCTGAGGCAGGAGGATCGGCACAGGATCGAGGCCAGCCTGAACTACACAGCGAGATCCTGTCTCAAAAAAAAAAAAATTAAATTAATTAAATTCAATTAAATCAAGACCAGACAATACTATGAAGACTTGCTTTTTAGAGGACTATTTCCGAGCATTTTCTATGTGCTTAGAATTATGCATTGCCAAGTAAGAGATCTAAAACAAGAGTTCTGTTTTCCTCCCTTTTAGACCTCAACACCCAATGGCTAAGCTAGTCTTATCAATTATGAGTTTTCTGTGCAATAAACCAATCCAGTCTCTCAGCTCCAGTGCCTCCATCGGGCCTCAACTCTCTCATCTGGACCATTCATATTTCCTCCTGAATTACTGCTGAACTTCAATCCCTTTCCCCCTAGTTTTTCCTCTATCGTGCTATCAAAGATCATTTCTAAGGTCCATCACACTTCCTTTCAGGCACCTCATCACCTGTGCTGATTATGACATCCAAAACTTTGCAACAGAGAGCCACTACCGGTGTCTCCCCGTTATCACCCTCCACTGCCCGGCTCTCCCACATTTCTCTGCTTCCCTATTGTACTTCAGTAGTATCGAGTTGCTTCTAAATTCTTCAGGATTCTCCCCTTTTATCTCACGTCCTTGGGCACATGTTGTTCACTCTCTTTTGGAAACTTCTTCCCCAGCCTTGAGCTGCTGGAAAATCCTGATCGAATGTCCTTTAAAATCACATCCCTTCTAAGCTGCTCTGTGAAGATTTCTTGGCCTTCTTGAAGAAGGCTAGCCACTTTCTCAGATCTCTGCTACTTACGTACCTTATGTATATAGCTTTTCCGCATCACCATGTGATGTCGTTGTTTGATTACACATCTGTAGACACTGAAAGACTCCTTGAGGTAGCTATTTTTCCCTTCTCAGAGCTCAGCACAAGTCCCTAACTCTTGGTAAGCAAGAAATACTTATAGGATTGAATTTTTAAATGACAAGACTTCCATGTATGAAATAATTAGCCAATGATCGCGGCCATATTCTGTATATTCAGTAAATTCCTATTTTTATTCTGCATGTAAATGGTAAAGAGAGGAAGTAGTGTCAGTTAAGAATAAAATAACTATAACTCGACATGGTGGCACACACTATAATGTCAGCACTCTAAAAGGCTGAGCCAGGAGAATCACAAGTTCTAGCCCAGCCCAAGCAACTTAGTGGGTTAGCAAGACCTTGTTTCAAAATTAAAAATCAAAAGAAAAGCCTGGGGATATAGCTCAGTATGAAAACCTTGGGTTCAATCCCTAGCAAAACAAACAAGATAACTACAATTTAGAGCATGTAGAGGATGGTATCATGGGAAGATGATTTGTGCTTAGACTTAATTTGGACAAGTAAAGAGATGGAACCTGGGCATGGTGGTGCATGCCTGAAATCCCACCAGTTTGGGAGGCAGAGGCAGAAAGATTGCAAGTTCAAACCCAGCCTGGACAATTTACCAAGACTCTGTCTTAAAAGAAAAAAAGGGGACGGTACAGGGATTGTAGCTCAGCACTCCCTGAGTCCAGTTCCCAGTGAAAGAGAGACAGAGATCTTCTAATAACCTTCCAGGAAGGCAAGGAAGGACCTGAAGTGGGTACGTCAGCCTGAGTTCTCCTTCCCAACACACCCCCTAGGGTACTGAGATTGAGCCCAGGACCTCATGCATGCTGGGCAAGTACTGTACCACTGAACCTCAACTTCATCTTGACCTGACTTTTATAATGATAATTCATCAAGAAGTTTAGAGTTTATCATGTTCCAGACACTATTTTAATTACTGGAAAAAAGGCCAGTGAAATCCATCAGATCTTGAGCCTCAAGGAACTTTGAATCTAGTGGAAAAGATTAAATAATAACTACTATGTTTGATGCTTTCTATGGGCCAGGCCAGTCTTTCTGATCTCATGTAATCCTTACAACACAAATGCTATAGGGTAGATTATATGATCCCTCTTTACAATAAGGAAGGTTCAGGTATGATACTCAAAGTGACCTAAGTCAAAATGTCACCAGTGGGCCAACTAGGATTCAAATGTAAACCCTCTATTCTAGTCTACATTCTTTCCACTCTACCACTCTGCTGTTAAGCAAAGAATAAATTACCCTTTCTCCATAATCCCTGAACACTGATTTGGGATTAGGTTTAGTTGTGTAGGATTCGTTGAAAGGATAAGTCACCAAGGGGAACAAGGAACTCACATTGGGAGCCTGCAGCTCAGATACACAGTCTAGAGGCATATAGAGATGAGGGTCACTGAAGAAAGAAATAATTTTAGATAATTATGAATTCTAACTGCATATAATATGTTTTAACCTAGTTAAAAAGTTTTCATGAGAGCTTGTAGTCTATTGATGGAAACAATCCGAAGAATTATGATTTTCAAATTGTGAATTCAGAAGTGGTATCAAATGAGGATAATAGGTTGCTATTTACAAAAGCTGAAGCTACATAGTTTTGAGGGGATTTTTTTCTTCTGGTACCAGGAATCGAAGTCAGGACCTTGGGCTTGCCAGGCAGGCATGGCACTGCTGAGCTACATCCCCGGCCCTGAAGTTACACACTTTTGACATCAGGATGCACCTTTCAAGATCTATTGCGCTAACAAATTCTGTTTTACAATTCATGAAAAGAGAGCTTTCTCAGGCTACTATGTAGCTCAACAACCAAGTTTAGATGCCATCATTTAAAATATATAGTAGTCTTGTCATCAGGCTGACATATATGAAGAGGGAATGGACTGTGCTTCAAAAAGAAATACAAGAATTCTATCGATGCATGCCCTCCACTGACTGTTAGATCTAACTTGATCACCACACATCAAGATTTGATAATTAGGTAAATCACTCTGAGAACAAATAAGTAAGACTAACATTGGAGGATGTATTTAGAGTTTCATTTCTCTGACTGCCGACTTGGCTCTTGCATTGTTCTTAGGCATAAAGAAACAAAAAGGGCCGGGGATGTAGCTCAGTGGCACAGTGCCTGCCGGGCAAGTGTGAGATCCTGAGTTTGATCCCCACTACCGAAAAAAAAAGTCATTAGGTGAAGAAAAATATCGGATCTGTTTTGTTCATTTCTGCAACCCTAGCACCCAGCACATGACATGACACGTATTCACTATTTTTGAGTGATTATAGAAATGAAAATGACTGCATATGTCTGCCTTTCAAGCCAAGAATGAGGTTTCCCTGGTCACACTTAGCTCTAAGAAATGCTGGGAAGCAAACGTCTGATAAAAAGCAATGAGATTATCGTACTGGGCTCGAACAGTGACCTTCGGGTGTTTGTCACCTGCAATAAAATCGTTTTATCGTCAAGGAAAAAGAGGGCAGGGCAGGGCAGGGTAGCTATTTGCCTGTCACCTTTTAGTCCATATTTACAAAGGTGACAAGGATTCTTATCAGAAGACCTAATAGCTACCCTGCCCTGCCCTACCCTGCCCTGCCCTCTTTTTCCTTGATGATAGAAAAATTTTATATAGATAATGTGAAATAGGAAGAAAAGGTGCAAAGGGGAAGGGGAAGTAGGAAGGGTAGGGGAAAGGGAAGAAGGGAATGGAATTAATATGAGAAAATGAAAAAATGGAAACAAAGTCTTTGTAAATAGGGAGGGATGGAGTGGTTGATGGAAAGGCAGGGAAGCAGAAAAAATAAGAACCAAGAGAGATTATGTAAAGGTGGAAATTTCTAATGATGAATGTCATTATATTGTATACCTACAATGTACCAATAAAATTAATTTAAAAAGAAGAAAGATAATAATTAAAAATGATAACTTTGTACTTAAACAAAACAAAACAAAACAAAACAAAAATGCCTGTCACTCTAGCTGTGTACCGTGTTGATAGCCGGTAACCGTAATCCCAGGTACTCCGGAAGTTGAGGATGGGGGATCGAGAGTTTAAGGCCAGTCTGGGGAATTTAGTTTTTGGATTTTGTTTATTTTTGAGGTAGTAAGGATTGAATCCAAGGTCTTTGCACTGAGCTAAGTCCCTATCTCTTTTTTTTTTGAGACCACAATCTTCAAGAAATTGCCCAGTCTAGGCTCACACCAGTGGTCCTGAGATTATAAAGCATGAGTCACCATGCCAAGCTCTCTGGCCAATGTAGTGAGACCTTGTCTCAAACGAAAATAAAAATACTGGGAGTGGAGCCCAGTGGTAGACAATTGTCTAGCTGGCCTAAAGCCCTAGGTTCAATCTCAAACATCACAAAATAATGATAATGATAATGATAACAGAGAACACTTGTCATTCTAATGAAAGTATACATTGAGAAGAACCAATCCAACCCCAGTCTGCAAGGGAAAATATATTAAGCTTCTTAAATGAATAGTATAAAATATATACATATAACCTATACACATAGTCTTAAAGACTTTATCTCTAGATTACTTAAAATACCTATAAATTATACAAGGCATATAAATAGTGTATTATTTAGGGAATAACAAGAAGAAAAAATTCTATATTATGTTTAGTACAGACACATATTTTGTTTTCCTGAATCTTTTTTGTTTTCTGCTTTTTAAATTTGTTTTGTTTTGGTTGTGTACTGGCTCCTGAACCCAGGGGTGCTCTATTACTGAGCTATATTCCACCTTTTTTTTTTTTTTGGTACTGGGGATAGAACTTGG